CCGATGCAACACAACATGCACCAACCAAATCACTCTTGATTGAGATGCCTTCGAGGACGTTGACACCTTTACATATCTGTGCAGCATCATCGACGAGAAAGGTGGATCGGACGCAGATGTGAGGGCGCGGATTGGCAAAGCGAGGGCTGCATTTCTACAGTTGAAAAATATCTGGAACTTCAAACAACTTTCAACCAAAACCAAAATCGGGATTTTCAATACAAATGTCAAGACAGTTCTACTATATGAAGCGGAAACTTGGAGAACTACGAAAGGCATCATCCGTAAGATACAAGTGTTTATTAACAGTTGTCAACGCAAAATACTTCGGATTCGTTGGTCAAACACGATCAGCAACAACCTACTGTGGGAGAGAACAAACCAGATTCCAGTGGAGGACGAAGAAGCGCTGAAAGTGAACAAACATTGGACAGAACTGGAGAGATAAACCCAGGACAGCGTTGGTTGGAGGAAACTGGTGGTCGGCCTATGCTCCATTGGGGGTGGTAACAGGCGAAAGTAAGTAAGTAAGTAAGTAGAATACGCATACAATTCAATCATCTTGTTCGCGAACAATAGCATTTCAAAGTCGAGACTCAGAATAACTTAGTATATCAACATTTTAGTTTTGAGTATATTATCTCATTTCATTTTTCAATTAAATTATTGAAACTGAACGATATAAACATAACACTTTAAAAAATATATTTAATAAAGTTATATGTTTTTATTTCTTAATAATTTACAATGATATGGATTTTTGTGCGAAAAATTTTACGATTCAAGTGATTTGAATACAAATTCAAAGAAATATCAATAAAATTAATTTATGAATTATTGTATATATGTATATATATGTTTGTTTAAATAGTCATGAGGTAGGTAGCAAAGAAGTATTTATTGATTAGTCCCATGTTACATTTTTCGACTGCTTAAAAATGTACCTACTGATTTGATTATTAAGTAGTATAAATCTTTAAAAACAAATTATTTCACTGATGCAGGAAAATCGCCATATGGGTATTTAATTACGTATGTATGTATTCATGTGTACAAAATGTGTGCATTTTTTTAAAATCGTCATTCAAATAAATAAAAGATTTGCAAAAATGTCAACGTCAAATAACGCAAAATAAAACATACAGAAACAAAGGGTGAATATATATATAGTGTAGATAAGTAGGATAAATTTTGTAATCCGTTCACTTTAACGGAAAGGATGGAGGACCCTGTATTAGATAGAAAAGAGTCTAATTATTTTGGTTGTGTCATCAACCTAATAGCCAAAATGAATAATAGTGATTATTTTTAATCCGAATACGGATTTATTGGCAATTGATAAAGCGGTGGATTTGAATTGTATTGATTTTGTGAATTGACTTTGGACGACGTTGATTTCCACTTTTTCCTAGGTTCACGATACTTATTTGACTTACGTGGTTTTTGTTGTTGTTGCCTTTGTAATTGGTCAATTTCATGTAAATAAGTAGTTGGCTGTGCATCGTTCATTTTAAAATTATGATTATTCTGATTATTACTATTTGTTTCTGAGCTAAACTGACTACTGAAATCATTATGAGTAGTAGTATTACGATGTTGGTAAGAAGATTTTTTTGATTTAGGTGATTGATAATAATGATGCATTTCATTCGATTCTATTGGTCTATTGTAATATTGTGGATCATTTGAATTGACCAATGAATGAGGTGATTTTTTGTTAACATTTGCTGATTTATACATTTCATTAAAATTGGGTGAATCTGACAATCGAGATGGAGCCGATCGGAGTATTTTCAATGGTCTTCCAGATGGATAATTTTGTACACTTTGTGGTTGTACAGCAATGGATAAACTAGCTTGATTTTTATTACATAAATTTTCTACTGATTCTTTACGTATTGCATTTAATGATTGACGAAATTCCGTGGATTCACGATTCCATAAACTTAAGAATGTAACCTGAAAAGTAAATAATAGTTATTCATACTAGGAAGTGTAGAAGAAATGTTGAGACAAGGCGTAGTGTGTGTGTTTGTAATGTTATATCGAGCCTACAGAGCTTGTCTAAATCCTTCGATCAAATTGACCAATCCGTTCTGCCCAAGTTACTATTCACTCATCGATATACTCGTCAATTCATATGCTTGAATGCTATTACGAGTACACCTTGGCCGGTAAACGAGAGCGAAGACAAATGATACCGTGACACAATAGGCTATTCTGACTCGATTGTCCCCGGCCCAGCTAACTATATCAAGAAGTCTTGATGAGGCGTAAAAAGTGCATTTTCTACAAACACTCAGAAAATACCAAGTTGACAAACACACACACATCGAGTCTATTCCTACATGATTGAAACATCCATGATACAGTCATAAAAATAACGTACTAAATTATTACATCAACCAATAACAGCTAAAGATTTTCCATGTGGGAAATTTAGTTTCAAGGTCAACCGAGCAACAAATAAGATGTTAATTACTATTGAAATGAATTGGATAAACGAAAATAGAAATAGATTTAAATGGAAATAAAAACTGTCTACTGAATTTAAATAAATAGTATAAATCAATATACAAAAAAAACAGGAAAAATGGGGACAGGATAAGGTACACGACAGTAGAAGAACTTAACACTACAAAATTTGTATTAACAAAGTTAAAAACCTGTTTCATACAAAGTAATTCACTGCCACACATTATTAAAAGAGATTAGAATAGAGAACAAGTCAACCGGCTGACAAGTATTTACGTTTTATAAAAAAGTTTACCCGGTAAAAATGGCTGTTGTTCAATGTGTCCCATTCATTTACTTTACCTACTACTTATACGAACGATATAAGTAGTATAAGAAGGGACGTGAAAGAAGAAGTCTCACAGTCAGAAGAGGAAAATGGAAAGCAAATGGAGCAAAAGCAAGAAGTAAATGGAGTACCAACAGGAAGGAAAGGAAGCAACAACAGGAATGGAAGAAGAAGGATGGAGTGTTGGAAGTCACGACTCAAAGATGGTGTACAAAGAGAGTATTCAATGTTATATCTTCGTTTTTATTTGTCTCAGAGTGTAAATTTGCATAATACAATCTTCCGCGCCTGCCTCAGTCTTCCCACTTATACTTGTTACCTCTTTTCGAACATAGGGCCTTTCGTCAAGATATTCTAATATTATATGATAACTAGGCTCGCTTTTACACTTGTTTCTAAATGCAAATCATTCTTTTGATGTTTGCTTCCAATTCCCTCTTAGTATGTGTTCGTTTGTCTGCCTGTTTTCCTTTGACCTTGAAGAACCGCAGCTAGGATTAACCTCATGATTGATTTCTACATTATGTATCCTATCCATCTTCAGCGCTTCTTTTCCCTTAGTTTCCTTTTCATCAGTATCTGTTACGCATGAACGTAAACATGTCATTTCATATGCTTGAATTATTACGAGTTTACCTTAGTCGGAAAACGAGAGTGAGGATCGAGGATCCGGCTACTCTAATCCGAGTGTCCCAAACCCTAATTGAACAAAAGAAGAAGACTTGACGTGAAGTGGAACCTGTATTCTACAAGCATCCAGGTCTGAGTGCAGAAGAGGACACGGATCCCGGACTTAGGATCCTGGTCAGGGTCCGGGCCATAAAACATTACAGATAATGCGTATTTATACAATTTTGGTCGAATAGGAAACAGCATCAAAGTCTGTGACATTGATAGTTAAGTCGACCAATAGGAAACAAAATTTGAGTGACAATGACAGTTAGGAAAACCAATAAAAAACAACCTTGGAGTACATCACATTAAAATCTAGGAAGACCATAAAATTGACCAGTAGGAATAAACCAACAGAAATTGACCAATAATTCTCTTAGAATATTGGATGAATTTCCTAACAGTATCTTAGTTTGTTCTTTAACTACATTCGATTGTTCCTGACGATGTCTGGTCGACTGAATTGGAATCTCTTACATAAATAACTGTCTATGTCGTTCAATTAATATCGTCAAAATGAGTCAGTCAGTCAGTCAATCAGATGCAACGTAGAACTTCGTACGTAAGTACATCAGTTCATGTCGCCATACCACATCAGCACAGAGATGTAATTGTCAATTCAAATCCAATAGTAGAAGAGGTAGTAAAGGTATTAGAAGTAATCAAAGAGGTTAGGATTAGAAGATATTATTCAAGAAGTATGATTCAATGAGAAAAGTTTAGAAAGTCAAAACTAGAGGTGTTGAAGAATCCAGAAGATTAGGATTTGAGAGAACACATAGCATAAATGCACCGGCGCCATTGCAAATGATTTTGAGCCATGTCATTCAAGGTCTTTAACCATCGATTATTATCATCTCGCGGACCCCAACCAGGTAGTCGACAATTACCGACATGACTCAGTCCACTCGTCAATGACTTCATGAATTTCTGTCATGTTTTGGTTTGGCCGCCCCTAACTTCCTTCCAACCTATTCCTACATCGCCAAAATGATGTTAAACAGAATCGATATTTACATAATCTAAACTAACTGTAACTATATCAAACCATAATCAACACTGACACAGTGTATTCTATTCATAAAGAAAACGACCGATTTATATTCATTGACAAATCTCCCATTTGAATTACATCAGTGTACAATTTAAAATAGACAATTTTGTGATGAATAATTGACTTTCATGTATCACAGTGGGATATTTTATTTATGATAAAAAGGAATTCTTATATATGTATATGTATGTATAACATTTCGATCATAAAATTTGTCTGGGAATTTCGGAGCACTATACTGTATATCTCTTCTATCCAACCTTAAAGAATAATCAATCTTCAATGATAAATCTTATTGTTTGTAAGACAATTTCGAATAAGATTATATTTTTTTTGGAAAAAGTTACATTCGGATTGACAATCAAATAACTTGTACAAAATACATCATACACAGAGACAAAAGGGAGAGGGAGAAAGATAGATAGGGAGAATGACGAACAGGCAAACAACATTTAGACTAGATACCCCGACAACATAAAAATAGAGCGAACTAACAATCATTCATTGTTGTATAAACTAACTAACTAACTAACTAACTAACTAACTGACTTACTTACTTACTTACTTACTAACTAACTAACTGACTTACTTACTTACTTACTTACTAACTAACTAACTTACTAACTAACTAACTAACTTAGTTACTTACTTACTTACTTACTTACTTACTTACCAACTAACTAACTTACTTACTTATTTACCTACTTACTTACTTATGCACTTACTTACTTACTTACTAACTAACTTACTTAATTACTTTCTTACTTACTTACTTACTTACTTACTTACTTACTTACTTACTTACTTACTTACTTACTTACTTACTTACTTACTTACTTACTTACTTACTTACTTACTTACTTACTTACTTACTTACTTACTTACTTACTTACTTACTTACTTACTTACTTACTTACTTACTTACTTACTTACTTACTTACTTACTTACTTACTTACTTACTTACTTACTTACTTACTTACTTACTTACTTACTTACTTACTTACTTACTTACTTACCAACTAACTAACTAACTTACTTACTTACTTACTAACTAACTAACTAACTAACTAACTAACTAACTTACTTACTTACTTACTTACTTACTTACTTACTTACTTACTTACTTACTTACTTACTTACTTACTTACTTACTTACTTACTTACTTACTTACTTACTTACTTACTTACTTACTTACTTACTTACTTACTTACCTACTTACTTACATACTTACTAACGAACTAACTAACTAACAGGTGTTTTATTTGATTAGGCGCTGTATGTACTGTTTTTCATTTGGGCGCTTCATTCTTTCTGTGATATTCGGCAGAATAACCTTTTATCATTCAATCTTTGAAGTTTAATTATGCATTTTTGTACCAGTCAGTGAATATTTGTCTATTCTGTTTATCAAATTATGATTATTATTGCCTCGATCCGTTGCTTCTACAAAACATACACATACACTCTCATTCCCTCACACACACACACACACAGAGACGCACGCAGGCAACTACTCTGGTACTTGTGTACAGTACACATTGACATTTGCATTCACGGTTGAATAGTACAAAATTTATCCTTCTATCAGGCAAACATTTTATCAAGAAGAAGAATGTAAAGTCAATAGAAATGTATTGGTTGTCTTTATGTAAAGCAGAAAAATCGATCATCAATCGGCTTTTCACTTTTTGGCGGGGGGAGGTGGGGATTTTGACACACAGACTATAACTATTGTAGAATTAAAGAGACAAAGAGGAATTGAATTGTTCATTTACTTTTTTTCTGTCTCGGATAGATGAATGATGATGATGATTATTATTATTATAGTTGTGTGTTATGATATCGGTAAAGAATATCGGTGAAGTGAATATGTGAAGACTGTATTATCTTTATCGTTCGAATCAGTTAGATGACGATTAGAAACCTGGAAGCATTAGACAGTTATTTCATTCTGATGTGGGACTCCTCATCCATGACTCCTGCTACCGGTAGGATATGAACCTAGGACCTTTGGTGTTGTATGAGAACGCTTAAACTATGTACCACTGGGCCAGTATCCAACTGTATTAATGGCTAACTGTGATAAATTTAGGGATTTTGCACAACCTCATCCATTGTCTTCGGTAGTTACTGTCTACACCCTTAAGCTGATCGTAGTAAGACATCAACACCATCGGATGCCGGATCACTGGTCGAGCACTTGCTACTAGCAGGATATAAACACAGGGCCTTCGATCTAGCACGAGAACGTTTAATCTCTGGACCACTGGGCCAGTATCCAACTGTATTAATGGCTAACTTTGATCAATTAAGGGATTTTACACAACCTCGGCCATTGTCTTCGGTAGTTACTGCCTACACTTATAGACTGATCAGAGTAAGACATTAACACCGTCGGATTCTGGATCAATGGTCTAGAGGTTGTAGGGTGTCG